ATGGTCAATTAGAGGGCGGAGTGTAACCAATATTTTGTCCTCATCTTAAGCTCTTACTGATAAAATTCAAATTATATATGCTCAGTTACGTGCAATGTACTGAGTGTATCGCTTAGCTGATGAATTTTGGAATATATTATTTAAATTAGTCAAAAATCTTCCGTTGATGTTTTCATTTCATTTCTAAAGACTTAATTCATCCAGCTGAAGCCTGAAATTATAACGACAGATTATAAAACACAAGATTTACCATAGCTTTCTACAATGTTACATTGGTTAATTATGTATTTTTGTTAATCGTATCAACATTCGATGCGGTCGATCACGTGTACTTAGGAGGAATTCAGTGGGTCGAATAACTAAGATTGATTGAATTAATTTTTGAGGACTGGATAACAGATGCTTCATACTCAGATAACTTAAAACATCGATTGATCACCAGGTATTGATTAATGCTACGTTTATCTAAAACTCAATATTATTAGGTAGAATTCCATCTATCATGTTTTCGCCTAGATAATTTTGCTCCAGATGGCTCAGTGGTGACATCTTAGACCTTGAAATGAGGTGATGCTTCTTCAAATTAAACATAGAAAATCAAATGCTTCAGTATTGTAAGTATTTTTTGATGATAATGAGCACAAAACCTAGGCTGAGCAGTGTTTTATGCTAACTACCTTCAACCTCCTCACAATATACAACTGCTATGTTTGGAGTAATATGCGAACGTTTGTTCATTCTTCTTCTTCTTAACAAACCAATTTTACATTGGAATTACGTCATAGTTTAGGACTATCACTTGTTTAATACCTCTTCTATCATCGAATTTAGAGTACTAGCATTTCAAGTTAATATTTATAATGATGACGGCTGTAGTTGAAAGGAATTTAGATAAGCAGAATATGAATAGCCGACTATACAATGGAGTGCTTACTGTATACTTTTAGTGATCTTAACAGAGATCAATTGTATACGATCCACAAAAGTTTAACCGGCATTGACTGAGCATTCATTAAAGAGAAGATTGGACTTTTGACAATAAAACTTTCAATGTCTTTTTAAAATGTAAAAATGAATTAGTATAATATCCACAAAAAACCCCTTCTGATATTAATCAACATATGATCACTAGTAACTGGGGTTCTAGTGAGAAGCAGTGACCAGTGTAGTTCAACCGGGTCTGTTGTGAGATAGTAACTCATTGACGACAATGGTGGATGTTTCGCTCGATTTCGTTGATTGGTTGAAGTTAGACACTAACACCGTTGGATGCCGGCTCAGTGGTCTAGTTGGTTAAGCGCATGGTGCGAGACTGATAGTTCCTGAGTTCGAGTCTCACGAGGCGGGATCGTGGATGCGCACTACTAAGGGGTCCCACAATAGGACAAAACAGATATTCGTAACTATGATTTGTTATTGACCTCGAAAGTTTGCTAAATTTTCAAGCGAACAATCCGAAAAAAGTTAAGCTTATCATAGGGAATGTAGATCTTAGGAACGTGATCAGCTTATAGCAATTCAAATATAAGAATTCATATTTTAAATGAAGATTTAGGGGACAGATCAGCAATATCTAGGACAATTAGTAACTCACAGGTTATTGTCAACTACCATCACAACCCTATTTTGCAATTATCTTGATAAGTTAGTCGTTAAATTATTGAATTCACCTTGGAAAGTAATTCAATGTTAACATACAAATTCCACATTCATTATTGCTATGTAGAGATAAGAATCAGGATTTTTGATTTTACATAATTCACTACCAGTATTTCATTTTTTAATAGATTTTGATTCATTTGATCACTAAATTGTTCCAGAATTTTCCTATCGTCATACTACGCCTTATTTAGTATTCCCGCCCTTTCATTTCTCTACCCCTAAAATATACATACAAACAACGAGTTGGCTTTCTACGGGGTGGGGTCTCTAACCCCATACCCAAACGTCCTCTTTCGCCTGGGCTTGGGATCAGCAGTAGCCTTAGAGGGGTTCCAGGCGGAGTTATACATATAAACTGATCCACCTAAAATGTTTTCTTTTTATGTTGCTGTCTTTCTTACTAAGTGACATTTATCATTTACTTGTAAACTAATCACATCTATATATTCAATCGACATTTATTAAACTTTCAAATAATTCAGTTCAGCTTTTTCAATAAATCTCCGACTATACTTTTCTGTCTTCAGCTGTTATAAAGTTACCAATGCCAATTATATATCATCTTACTATTATTATTAAGAATCATAGATTTGTATTATCCTAATGAGTAGAAAAATGGAGTTTTTTGGTGTTTTGTGACTCAGTGTAAGTCGCTTCTTTAGAGAATAAATAACCACATTAAATCAACTCAAGTTTAATTAATACAAAGGAACAAAGTAAGAATATTGAGTGCAATTAATCAGAAAAAAGTCTGACCAAGTCAATGTTATATGATTTCGGTCGAAGTGATTTATATGAGACATGTTTGTGTAGTTCTGCGTGTTTATATTAATGGATGAAATATGTGTAAGCAGCATAGAGTTGAATTTGTATGTGCGGTAATAGTGTGAAGTGTAAATACAACCAAATAAGAAAGAAAGATTAGTTCAGCGAAGAGTTCTCTTTTTGGCGAATTCATTTTCAGAGCTGTACAATCGCAAATATATATACTTATTTTTACAGGGTGATAATAATACTGATAATAAACTTCTGTTATACATGGTGACAGTGAGGTTAAATAAACAAAGGTAAAAAAAATTTTAAACAAGGAAAGTTTAATAATCGTTTGATAGTTAATGGCTGAATTATTCATTGGGTAATGATGGCTCAGCATGATAAAATAAAATGTTGAAACAGAGATGAACTGTGATCGGAATGATCGTGAAAATAAAAACAAACCGGTTGGGGGTAGAAGATTTGAAGGGAAGATGGAAGGTGAAGCAGGTGGCTGTAAGGGAACAAGAGTATGAAGAAAGAGGGAATTTTTTAAATACATTAAGATCATGGCAGAAGAAGAGGTTGTACCAGTCTCTTTTGTACACATAATTTTGGTTTTTCAAAATGTATGGCTATTCCCTCGGCAATGCAAAGGAAGGCTTCTACTTACCTTGTAGATGACTTTGAACTCAGAGTCTGTCTTGATTGAGTGACCTGTGTTCACAAGGTGTTCGATTATAGAACTTCTTATTGAGCCGTTGCCTCCTCTTTTTAGCCACGCCGGACAATGTTCTTCAATTCTTTTGGATAAGTAACAATGATCATCTTTAAATGACAAAATCTTTCTAGTACTCAAAATATATATCAGTCAGTAACAACGTAGAACTTCGTACGTACGTACATCAGTTCGAGTTGCCACACCACATTAGCACAGAGATGCGATTGTCTACTCAAATTCCATAGTGGTAGAGACAGTAAGATTATAAGCAGTAATCGTAAACATTAGGGCTTGAAGATGTTATTCAAGAAGTGTAATACAGTAAATTAAATTTGAAAAGAAAATAAGGGACAGGAAGAATTCAGAAGATTAGAATTTGTGAGAACACAAAGAGTGAATGCACTTGCGCCATTGCAAACGATTTTGAGCCATGTCATTCAGGGTCTGAAACCATTTGAGACCAGTCAAATGGGATTACGTCCAGTTCCCAAATTCTATCTAAGACCTCAGTTAATCTCACTGCTAATACTGGACCATCATCCTTGAAAATTTCAGAAGTAAACCTGTCAGGACCTGCTGCTCTCCCTCGCTTCAGATTCGGTATAGCTTTTTCAACTTCGTAGAGAGTCGGAGGACCTACATTAACTTGCCATTCAGGTTGACTGGAGATCGTGCGAAACTGAAGTGTGGTTGAAGGTCAGTTGAACTGATCCCTAAAGTGTTCTGTCCATCGATCCAATCTCCTGGATTCAGAATGTATAATATGTCCATATTTCTCTGAAATTGTTTCTCTAACAGTCGGGTTCTTAATACCGGTTTCCTTAACAAGTCTGAACAATTGTCTGCTATTTCCTATTGCCGCTGCCGTTTACATCTCTTGCTTTCAATATATATATATATATATATATATATATATATATATATATATATATATATATATTTGTTGATTTGGGCTTACTTTTTTTACATCAAAGGCATTCTATATATTTTGATTAAATTTCAGTGTAAAATGAATGTAATTACCCTAGTTTGACAACATTACTTACTCTTGTTAACCCTCATGGAGGAGCTTAGTCTGCCCTACCAGAATTCTTTCTGGAACTCTGTTATTTACTAATTTCCTTCTCATTTAGAAGCTAGTTTGTTCTCTCGCATAGTTGGCTGTTGCTGATAGTATCCGGCCAACGGACATTCAGTATGTTACGTAAACAATTGTTTATAAATAATTGTGCATTATTGGTGATGGTTGTTATAGTTCTTGAGGTTTCAGCTCCATACAGTAGAACTGTCTTGATGTTCGTATTGAAAAACCAGAAAAACGTCATAGTATGTGATATCGAAATATGAGTAGAGGCTGTCAAAAGTAACTGTTTAATTTATTTAATTCAGCTGATGAGAATATAGTAACTGTCAGCATTAACCAATGCTATTGGCAATAAAAAGTCAATACACATTATTTGAATGCACTGAACGAACACTTATGTGGGGATAACCAATTTATCATTTAACGTCAAATATCACTATGCTTTCATAAAATTAAGTCCTTTATTTGCAAGTCTCCTTTCAGTTGTCGTGTACATACTTCTTCATTCTTCATATTCGGCTGTCATTGTAATTCGTCACCGTTTCCTTTTCTGTTTTTCGTAATTCAATCTGAAACTTTTGCTAACAGGCAGTCTGTTTCATTTTGGTATTACCTAATACTTATATCTGTCAAAATAAGTAGCATACATCACGCGTTTATCCGTTTTTAATGGTTAAATTAATCAAGTGTGATTTAAATGGATTGATATAAACCTCAGAACACCATACAATTCATCACATTTTATGCTGTTTGTACTGTTTTTCCTTTACACTATTGTAGATGAAATTTCATCGGCTTTCGCTTCTTCATCATCCTCATCTACTTCATCATTGTCATCGTTATCAAATAATAATCGTAATCATCATAATAATAATTTAATATTAGCTACTGGATCAGCATGTCCATCAAATCCTGGAATTGCATGTAGTCATGATTATTTATCAGTCGATGCTCGTATATCTAATGTTTATGATGGTACAATTAGCAATATACCAATAATTCGTTTTTGTTTAATCAATAGTTCCACATTGAAAACAATCGCTACAAAGACAAAAACAAAATTAACAGAAATACAAATGACCAATTCATCATCATTATCTTCTTCTTCTTCTTCTTCATCTTCAATCTCCTCTGGATCATTTTCATTTAATTCAATAGATTATAATAAATTATATCCACCAGATGAATCATATTTAGTTGGGCAAATTTATGGTCCAATCAGTAATGTATACGGTTTACAGTTTACATCAAATTTGAATTTATTAGATCCATATATTATTCATGGAAAAGGCATAGTGTTAGAATATATTGGTAAGCATTAGTTTGTTTTTTGTTTATTACAGAGATTGTTTAAATGTTTATGTTATACACATGATGGACTGATAGTAGGCAGATAATCATTGAAAATGAGGAAACATTAAATGGCTATTTCATTCATTGTAGCATTGAACTGTTCAGTATTTTACACTGATGAACCATTCAAAGAATTTCAGACTTGATGGCGAGACATCAATCCTTATACTAACCAGTTGGGACCTAATAGTTGATGCTTATGAAGACAATCAGTCAGTCAGTCAACTTACAACATTACGAAATCATTATCTAGTGACATTGATGTGTAGTTGCATCGGACTCGATATAACCGAACTACACTGATCATAGCCTGTTACTAGAACTCTAGGCATTACTTCTCGAAATTACTCACTATTGAGGCTTACTGCGAGCTGACTCAAGTTATAAAAACGTAAACCTGATGTGTAGCTGATGAAAATACTGATTGGTTGTTTACCTAGTCAGAGTAGTAGATGGTCTGACAAGTATTAGATGTGTCATATGTTTCCTATCACATTATTATTTACTATTGTTTCTTATTGTCGTTGAAATATTCGCACGTGTTCGTGATCAAAATTGCATTGAAGTCCTGTAGAATGGACACTGGCATGGTATCTCGTATAGATATCTTGTTTTAATTTCCACATTCAGAATTTCTGAAATTTTTGAGTTGACATTAGTTTGATGACTATCAAAAATCAAGATACATTGAAACAAATAAGCCCATTATCCTCAAGTCTCATGAGTGACAATGACACCATCTAACCATTGAATAATTTCAAATTTCGTCACCGATTGATGACGAATTCAAATGACGAAATCTTTAGGGATAATTAATTCAACGTCTATATATAGTGATCGTTGATTTACTGTTAGACAACAACATGAAAATAACCGTAAGTGTTGAATGCATTACAATGACTGAATATTGAAAATATTCTAAATCAACTCAAGTATAACACAGTGCTGGTATGAATATAAAATTAAAATAATCTTGAATTTGTTTTAAGAAATACACACACATCACATTGAAACTTCAAAAGTACTCAACGAAATCGTTGATTTTTATTGATTGGTTAGTTAACTGGTTTATTTATTTATTTATTTCTTCATTCATTCTTTTTTTCATTGATCTATGAATGATCAGTTATTTAACTAATGTTTTCTTTCTTAGCTACTCAATTATGTTTGTTATGTTTACTCACTTATCTCTCTATTTATTCATTTATTTATTTAGTCAGTTAGTTATTTGTTACGATAGTGATTATTGCATGCTACTCCACTTCACCTTACTTCACTTCACTCACCTTAACTTACCTTTCTAACTGAATACATCAACTGAGATAAGTTAAATTGATTTTCTATAGTCTCTTTCTATTATCATAAAATGATGTATGAATGAATAGAAATTTCAATATATTATAGAGTTTATTTGTATCATCAGAAATACTAGTAGTCTGTATGTATCTGTGTGTGTGTGTGTGTGCATTTTTTTCTCCATTCAACAATAAGTCGTGTAATTAAAATTAGTATATTCTAATTGTGTTTATGATACCGTTCATAGTTACTATCAAAATAGATTGAATAATTAGGGTTTGATTATGAACTGATGTTATTATTGATAACAAATAGAAATTTTCAGTCGAATAGTTAAATAGTTTAACATGTAAGTTAAAATGTGGTTTCAGGAATGACAATTTGTGAACTGGAACTGTTAGCGTAGTTGGCACAAAGAATAAAGTTGAAGTCTGCATTAAGTATTAGGTAAATATGATAAATTATTTAGTGAGGTAATGAATCTTTATCAACTAAGGTGGTTGAGATATTGTTACGCATTGCCGATAACCACCTATCTCGACGGGAAATATTGTCTAGTTTAAGAGTAGATTAGAGTAAGCTATGGGTGGCTAAACCAAGATGTGTCACTAGTCCATGAAGTCAGTAACAAGTGGACTGAGTTGGAGTCGGCGTGATTATCCTAAACGATCATTAGCAACTTTTGATGACATAAATCAGGACGACTCACAATGGTCCATAAACATTCACTCTTTGTCTTGCTTTAGAACCTAACCTGTGTCACAAAATCTCCTTATACCTTTTTTCTTTGCATGTACATAATCTTTCCTACTACTACAAATGTTATTACTACTCTTATTAATCTGAAATTTGTCTCGATAATTTTATCTCTCTGTGCTAATAAGACATGACAACTTGAGCTGACGTACGTATGAATCAGATTCTACGTTGCGCGTGACTATAACTATGATAGAGGAAGCCATAAGGCAGAATTTGATACTAGAGATAGAGGAAAAGTATTTAAAAAAAGAGATGAAATTATTTTAATACAGACAAGATGTTTTTAATGCTGCTAGAGTTATGTGAACAGTTGATATGTCCCAGTTACCTACATTGAGGAGAGATCTGAAAAGAATATTGGATAGGTAGTGATTTTGTCAACCTGGAAGAGTGACCGCTGACCACAAGAGACAAATGTTTAAAGCCGATCAAGCTGCTTTTTTCTGAGTAGTTGTTAGTGTGTTGGTTCGGCACTCCATATTTTTATTTACCCACAATTATTTTCGTTAAGTTCGGTGTTATTTATAAGCGGAATTCAGGATACTCGTTTTGACAATGGGAAGATACAAACTCTTTTAAATAAAATTTTAACCATTGTACATGTAAGCGGCTATCTGACCTTTGTAGCTCATCAGAGTTAATACGTTGGGCGTTTGAAGTGAACCGTGTGAACATGAATATTAGAATGTCCCGTATACATTCAACTGACGAGTCTCAAATAAGAAGAAAAATACTCTTCTTGGATTTCATTGTTACACACTATCCATCTTTATTAAAATACTTTGGTGAAGAAAATAGTTTTTAGCATAGTTTAGATAAGATTTCTTCTAAATCATGGTCACGACCAAGGTAGATATTTGTTAGCGGGATATACATTGGATTAAAGCATGTTGCGTGTAGGATTGTGTTGAAGCACGCTGGATGGCCATTTCCTAGACAACCAACACTTTCGGAGACTTGGAGAGGACTAGGATCTTCTCATATAGAGATTATAAATATACTAACGTTTTTTCATATTATGATTCCTTCTTCCATGCAACACTTTTATTTGCAATATAATTACGTTCTTGTTCAACTATGTTCTAATTTGGGGGCTTGTCGAGTGAAATAGTGATCAAGACTACTAGGCAATAGGAGTAGCTGGGTCGTAATAAAAGGAATTATAACAGTATCTCACTTTGTCTAGAAAATAGTTAAGAAACATTTTGAAATTTTAACAATCACTTTAACATGTTTAATTAATTTTTTTTATCGATTTCTTTTATAGCTCTTTTATGTGTTCCCATCAATCCACCAAGTGGTAATGGAGTAGTTGACTATCGGTTCCGTGTAAATCAGCAAACCTCTCATACCTTCGCTTATGCTGAAGTATTCTGTCCATCTGATCGTTGGTTAGAGCCAATGGATCCAGACCTAGATGAAATCAATCCAGCACAATCATCGTGGTCGTTTTCGTCAACAGATAATAGTTCATCACCTAATAATGACAATATTCCTAATCCATGGTGGTTACAGCGTAGAAGACATATAACACTGATTTGTGATCATCACGAACGTAAATGGATACCAAATCGTTTGCCAGAAGCTTGTTTAACATGTAAGTCAATATCTTTACCATAGAAATATTGAACTGAATAGTATTACAATATTGATTTGTTAAAATATGATTAGAAATGACTGAAATGATCACATTGTAAACTTGTTCATTTGATCCCTACAATTAATCAATCCAAATTATGACAATTTTTTCACTCTCAACATGTTTGAACTTCATCAGTCACGGCTTTTTACTAGAAATTCAGGAACATCTTAAAATAAGTCATTAGTAGTGAGCTGATTATTATTGCTAAGTCAAAGTAGTTTTATACGAATTAATTTAATTTATAGGTAGCATTCATCACAGATTGATCTCAGTCGAAGCACTACTGCTGTAACAGTGGTTCGGTGTTCAATATTTTTCGATAGTACTCTATGATCCATCTGGGATGAATATAATCTATAAATTAACCAATCGACAGAGAGAGAACCTCATTCAACCTGGACTTAACAGTAATTGAATTTTTGTTTAAATCATCAACGTGTTAATTTCAATTAATCATACTAGAGATAATCCATTTTCTCTTCATAAAAGCTCTTATCCTCTTGACTATGACTCATTAGAAAAAGTCATAACGACATTTGTTTGTTTGTTTGTTTTATTGTGTAAACATTGTTTTGCTTTATTAGTTAAACAGTTAGGTTCAATGTTCAAACTTCACTAATTTGTTCTTGATTTCAAAAAGACTGTGTTATTTATCTCACGATTAGTTCAGTTGTAATGTAGTGAACGAGAACACAAGTGGGGACAATCGAATGTATTTTAATACAACATAATAGAATATCTTAGTAAAATAGGAGAATCATACAATAAATACTTCATTTACAAAATGTTAATTAAGTGTCTCAGATGTCATTGTTCCTGCATTTCTATACCAATTACTTTCTGTGCCCGTTCTTTCGTTTTTCGATCTTCTCGACCTTCTGCTACCAGACATTCTATTCCCGACTGGCGTTTTAAAATCGCTTCATATCTTTCTTTCTACGGACTAATTCTTTCTTCCTGTATTATGTCCTTATATGCAATCTTTCTTTTTTTATATTACCACCAACTAGTTAACTACTTCTATGAATCCGGTGTTCATAATGTTGTGCTAATGAAGTGTGGCAACTTGGACCGATGCACATCTGTGCCTGGTCCTACATTGTAGCTGACTGACTGGCTGACTGACTTATACAACTTATGTCTATATAAGTAGCACACACTACAGTGAATTGAATTGTATCGTTATCATTTGTTTAATGCTCAATGTGTTTTTGTTATTTTAGTGCAATTATGGTGTAATTTTTGTAGGGCAGTAGAGGGAACTCTTTTGTTATGTTTAATCGAGCTATGTTATGATTATATTCACTACTATTATGAATAGACATACATTCTATAATGGTATTTTGATTATTGGCAGACGAAGAAATTTATGTAAATCAACTACCGTTTAATTACTATCGGATTTGCACGCTAAAATTGATGAGTATTTTTTTCAGTCAATAACAATATAGTTTACGTTACAGACTGACCATTAGTTAAACAACCATAGAAAACCAAGTGGTACGGCTGGATAGCTATTTCGTCCTACTATAGGACTCCGCACCAATATGTATCCCCAATCTTACCAACAGAGATCGAACACAGGATCTTAAAATTTCTCAGTGAATGTGTGCCAATGAAAACTACCAGATAGGTATTCAGTGGTGAACAGCTCAATTGGTTCTCAAAAAGGTGTTTTATTTCCGTTTAGGTCGTATTATTTATTGACAGAATGTAAAGAACCCTCTGAATATTTTCAACTATGTGGTCCTGAACCTACAGGCCCTGGCACGGCCATAAGGGAGTCAGCTCTTCCACTCGAAATGTTTCATATATCCACGTGAATACAGCCACTCCCATGAAAGTCCTACTCACTGGTCTCTCGCTGCAGGAGTGTTGTTTCCGAAATGGAGAAGACGAAAAGAGAATATCCGGCGCATTAGCCGGGTTGGTGGACGCAGAGGGTCCATTTAGGTTAATTGGTGCACATGGACTCCAGGATCTTGAGGGAACAATGGGTGTATGAACCTGTTGTTGGCCACCGGCTACCATGTGACTGTATCGCCTAGCGTTGATCCACTGTCCTGTGGGTTACACCTGTAGGTCAGAGGCTTGAGGAGTAGCACCTGAAGAAAACCACTTGTTTCGGCTTGAATGCCCGATCAGTATTACAACGCTCACACAAATCGAATGATCTGTGTGACGCATCAATACTTGCTGCCTCCTTATACCAGTATTTATGTGTTTAAATAAATAAAAACAATTCATCCCAATGAGTTCTGAAAGTCCTGAGCTGAAGATTATCAATTCATTTGTCGACTAATAAACAGATATATGTCATTAATTTGCACCGATTGCCCAATTTGCTGAATTCATTAACAATCGTGAAATGAAATGGTTTGATTACGAATTATAATCCACCGAAACCCTGTCAATTGATACTTTGTCCCAAGGTCTTATTTTGTTTAGAAATTATGTCTCTGCACTTTTAAAGAGTTTTAGCTAATGTTAAAACATCTACCTAGTGTTTTTCTCTTTTTGTGTGTGGTAATTACACGGTTTAGTGTCATGTTCATGGACGAAATTACTAGTGAAAATGATTACGAAGTTTTCAGTTCAAACGAAGATTACTGAAAAGAAACAGAGTCTTTTTACTTAGGATAAAATCGTTAACCAATGTTTTGTGGTTTTATATAAGTACTCTAAGAGAAAGTAATCTATGAAGAACATAACTAACAGATATTTTTCTCAAATCGAATAAGTTTGATTAGGGTGTAAACTAATAAATAAGTCGATCAGACTATGACGTAATTAGAGATAAAGTTGTGCTTATGAACAGAGGTGATTGTGGCTAGCAGTGAGATCCAATACACGCGTTTCATCCTGTCTGGGACTCGTCAGCTGGATAGTTACAAGTCCACCTAAATTTATGTTCATTATGATTAGAAATCGGCCTATATGTTCTATTAGTTAAATGGATAACGGTGAACATATGCTTTATCGACGTAATTAATGTCTTTCTATCTGTTTTATGGATTATTAGTCAGTGTTTTCTTAGTAGAGCATTGGTCGTTGATAAAAGCAACTCTTTTGTTGAACAAAATTAATTCTAGTATCCAATAATGTCTATTTAGTTTGTTGTATAAACAAGTATGCTGAGGTTATTATATTACAAGTTAATTTTACAAATTTCAAAATAAATCAATCTTAACTCCTTAAAATTTACTCCATATCAGTCGTAAAGCATCTGTTTGAATTGGTCAAAAGATCACAGAAAGTTCCCAGGTATCAGACTTCTTGGGTGTTTCATCTGTTCACGTTTTGTTACAGTTGTGTGCTTAGACTGTTCGGTTGTCGGTCGTGCACATGTTTTTGGTGTTTGCTGGCATTTTGTAGGTTGGTTTTAACTAGGCGATATGCGTCGGTATTGCATCACCCCAACATTCCGTCGACGACTTATTGATGAAGGGTTGTAGAAGAGTTTTGATGGTTCTGTTTGTTCCTTCCACTAAGCCGTTAACTTCCGGGTGGTATGCGGTAGTCCGTGTTTCCTGGATTCCCAATAATCGGCATACCTGGGCGACGAGATGGATTTCAAAAGCTACACCTTGGTCAGAATGGAGTAAGACTGGAGCGCCGTAACGGGAGACCCAATGATCAATATAACTTCGAGCGATTTTGAGGGCATCTTCTTGTGGTATAGGAGTGGTTCCACACCATTTGCTAAAATACTCTACCACCGCCAGTATATAGCGGTTTCCGTTCTTCGACGTTGTAAGTGGCCCCATAATATCGATACCAGCTCGTTGATGTGGAACTTCTGTCGTCACTGGAAATAACGGGGAACGGGGTATTTGTTGAGGATAATTGATGGCATAGCACATGCCAAAAGGTTTGCAGAATTCTGCTATGTCTTCATGTGTGCATGGCCACCAAAACGTCTGGTAAATCGCATGTCCTGTCTTCTGTTTTCCCGAGTGCCCGAGTTCTCGGTGCACCTGCTCCACAATATTCTGAACTTGTATACGTGGTACTATCAGCGATGGCTGTTTTGACTCACTGACCATAAACAACGTGTCCCCATAAAATCTCAGAGACCGCCAGGCGTTTATCCTAAAATTTTAGTTCATCACTAATTAATTAGAAACTACAAGAAACTGAACACAACTCTATGATATCATCAACATAAGAGGTTGACTATCGTTTGGGTTTCGAACTGCTATTGTATTCTTCACGTCTCTCATTAAAACGCTTATTCCACCTGTAAAGAGCTGGTTTGTTTTAGTACACCACCTCCATATATAACGCGTTAGTGTTTCATAGATTTCCCGAAAGCTTTTTCTCTCTAAATTACACCAGAAGTGTATTGATCAGCCTTTTTCCTATTTATAATTTATGAAATTCCAGTTAACTCAGCTTTTTAAACATTAAATAAACGATCACTATTAGTGATAGGGTTATGAAGAATTGTATTGTCCATTACATCATAGTGATGGACACCTTAGCAATTCGTATCCATGACTCCGTAATCTAGAATGGAATGTCTTAACAATTGATCCAGCATTCAACGATATTAAAGTTAGTTGGGTGCCGAATCAGTGATCTAGAATTAAAATTTCAGGTTTCAAAGGTACTATGGATCCTCACTGTTGGGAAGTCTTCTAGTCAAACAAAACGTGCACTCAGTGATATTAGATTTTCAATGTCTATCTAACTTAAATCAGGTTCATTATCTCAATAATTTTTTTTTGTTTTTCGAAATATCATTGTCTTGTTTTAAATACACAATCATTTTTTAATTTGGACTTTAGACGCGTACTTGTTTTATTTGTCTATTTATTTATACTACAAAAACAATTGTGAAATAAAATGTAATTCTCTTTTTCATTGTTATTCAAGTAGAATCATTAGTCAATTCTCATTGTACATCATGCACATATCAGCCCCCCCCCCCAATATATATTTATGTACAGACCGATATATATCTTGTAAATAAATATAATTACCAAGTGAGTTAGAAGAGAGAGAGAGGGAGTGAGGGTGATTGAAACTAGATATGTATAGATAAGTAAGAAATACTCAGTGAAAATAACTATCATAATAATGATACATGTGATTTGCAATGATTAATTTGCTATGATGCTTAAATTACATAAATACATAATTGTTCCAGTTAAAATGTTTGTTACATTGAAAAGACAGAAACGATAATTTTGTTTATTCTTGGTATTTATCATGAATTAACATGGATTTGGCGGATATTATTAATGCACACGGTTCATTGTACAGATGCTTCATGCTAAAATGAGACTCCTCAGCAGTGCGTACTAACAATCTCAGCGGGGATCGAACCTAAGTACCTTCAGGTTTCACGGTCAAGTTCGAGAGGAATTTGTGAGAGTTCTAGTGAAAATTCGAGGCGAGTGCTGTTCAACCGTGTCGGATATGAGACAGTTATGTTGCTAAGGTATTCCAAATAGTTTACAAATAACGAAATCTTTTGTTCTAATTGTTCTTTCCAGAAGCAATTAATATTAAGCATTTTCAACTTGACCTATAAATACAGAGTGCAAAGCATGATAAACTTATCTTTTTCATAATAAATTCCAACTGTAATTCAACTGAATAAGTTTTAGAAAGATAAGTTTATTTGTAGGTTAAATTGGTCTCAGATTGATATTAGTTTGGGGAAGCATGAGTTTTTGTCAGACGAAGGTTTGAACAGACAATCTCGCATTTATTGATAACTGTTTGAATAGAAAATTCGTCAGTTCAATGTTTATTTTAAATTATCAAAGGATGCCGGCTCAGTGATCTAGAGGTTAAGCGTTTGCGTGCGAGACCGATAGATCCTGAGTTTGAATCTCGTTGGGCGCAGTTGCCAATGCGCACCGCTAAGGAGTCCTATAATAGGACGAAACGGCTGTCCAGTGCTTCCAGGTTTTCCATGATGGTCTAGCTTTAATTGTCTCATGATCTCAACTGTTAAAAATATCATTTATTTGTTTAAAGAAAAAGAAACAATAACACTTATTCATTTTTATTTACTTTATAGCTGATGAACTTGCCACATTTGTTGCACAGATCACTAGAAATTTACAAGAAATTGAAAAAAACACGAAATTATCCTTGAATAGTAATCAATCGAATATGAACAACAGCAATGATATGATGTTGAAGACTTCGACATCTATCAACCAATCACAATTAAATACTACACATTCATCATTGTATTTGAAAGCCGCCAATAATAATGATCAAGTTACGCATCTTTCATCAGGTAATTAAAGCAAGCCAGAGGAACACAGTTGTTTCCATTCAATTTTCAATATATATATGCATTATTATGATGTTTCATATATTATTTGGATTGTGCTCGTGTTAACATTAATTGTAATATGATTGAAGAGAAAAACTTATTAAGTAGTTTAATATAATAAGATAGAATATCAGTAATGGAAAGGTATTTGTTTTAATTTCTTCAGTAGCAATTTTGCTGAATCTAAATATTTTGTGTCGTTCATGCTAATAGTGTGATCTTATCTGAGCACTTTATCATTATGTTTTTATACAAAAGTATTCATGCAGTATAGCCACCGAAGTAATAACTAATAATAATCATTATATTGATCGCTCTATAAACTAAATGGTGTATATTGTGATAATTATGTATAGAAAGAACTATTTTGTCACCGACCATTTCATAATCATCTGGAAAAGTTGATAAAGTTTTGTCTATATGATGCATCTTTTTATCGTGTAATAAATGTGTGGTGAACGAGAACTTCAGTGAGGATAACTAAATTTATTTGAGTATAACATTACAGAATCTCTTAGTAAAATCTGAGAAGCTTACAGTAAATACGTCATTTGCAAAGTGTCAATTAATCGTTTCAGACTTGATTGTTCCTTCTTTTCTAAACCAATCATTCTCTGTTTTCATTCTTTTCGATCTTCTTAACAGTCTACCACCAGGCATTTTATTTTCATAAGAAAAAAGGAACAAAGACAAGTATATTGTAATTCATGTATTGAAAATCTGATGAAAAAAAGTGGTTGCAGCATCTGAACTGATAGAAAATTTTCATCATTAAAGATGAATCGACAGGTCCAGGCTACAGAAGTTTATCGTAATGTTACACAACTGGTGCTGAGAATTTGTTACCGATGCACAATTTATAGTAGTGGATATTGTTATTATGATCATAGAAGTCAGAATAGTTTAACGATCTGTCTGCATTGCATCAATAAAGTAGCAGTCCTAACAAAGGAACTATTTGATACTGAGAAATAATCAGCAAATATTTTCCCCAGTAGTTGAAATCATGAGTCAATTGAAGCTAGAACACCATGGAAAACCTAGAAGCACTGGAATACCGTTTCGTCCTAATATGGGACTTCTCAGCAGTGCTTATCCACGATCCTGCCTCTCGAGATTCGGACCCAGGACCTATCAGTCTTGCGCGCGAGCTCCTAACCATTAGACCACTGACCCGGCATCCAACGGTGGTAATGTCAACCAATCCACGAAATTGCGCCACCGTCACTATTGTTTTCAGTGAGTTGATGAGCACTGCTGAAGAGTCCTATAATAGGACGAAACGGCCATTCAGTGTTTCCAGGTTTTCCATGGTGGTTTAACCTCAACGGACTCATGATTTCAATTATGGCGATTGCTAAAATCCCCATAAACTCCTGAAAAAAAAATATATCTGGACTATTTTGTCCTAGTTTGTTGCACCTCAGCAATGCGATTCCGAAACCTCATCGATTATAGGGTCAAAGATTTTGAGGTCTCATTGATAACTTCGTAAAGCAGTTCGGGATTTCATGTGACAAGCTAGAACAAGCGGATTTCAACTTTATGGGATGAATGAAAGTTATTAGCAATGGATGAAGGTATTCGTTATCACTAACTTATTGAAATTTGACATATAAACCATTGGTCGCTGGTTTGTAGGTAAAGTTCTTGCCAAGAGACCAAAAGATCTTGAGCTTGCTCGTCTGTAACGCTTGACCATAAATGAATGCTGCTGTGGAGTCCATATTAAGGTAAAATACCCGTCCAGTGCTTCAATATTAATCTAACATAGGTCAGTTCGTCATCTAAATGATTTCCAACAATCTCCACGAACTCTATCATATTTGTGAGTTTTCCAGATTGTGACAATACTATTTATTGAATTTAACTACTTTGTGTAAAAGTAGATATTACTTATAACTCACTTACTTATTTACCCCTGCTACTCCTCGTGGAGGAGCATAGGCCGCCCATCAGCATTCTCCATCCAACCCTGTCCTGAGCAATCCTCTCCAGCTCTTTCCAGTTGTTATTCATCCTTTTCATATCTGCTTCTATTATCCAACGTAATGTGTTCTTTGACCTTTCTCTTTTCCGCTTCCCTTCAGGATTCTAAGTTAGCACTTGTCTCGTGATGGATTTTGGTGGTTTTCATAATGTACGTCCTATCAATTTCCACCGTCTTTTCCTAATTTCTTCTTCAACTAGAAGCTGGTTTGTTCTCTCCCAGAGAAGGCATTTGCTGATGGTATCCGGCCAATGGATGTTGAGTATCTTGGGTAGACAGCTATTTATAAATACTTGTACCCTTCTAAATGGTGGTTGTTGTTCTCCAAGTTTCAGCTCCATACAGTAGAACTGACTTGACGTTGGCATGGAAGATTCTCACTTTGATATTGGTTGAAAGACAGTTGTTTTGAGTTCCATATGTTCTTCAATTGTAGGAATGCGACCCTTGCTTTGCCAATCCTTGCTTTTACGCCTGCATCTGAACCTCCTTGTTCATCGATGATGCTTCCCAAGTACATGAATGATTCCATATCTTTCAGAGTTTCATCATCAAGAGTGATTGGATTGCTGTTCTCCTTTTTGAATTTGAGGACCTTGGCTTTCCCTTTGTGTATGTTGAGGCCCACTGATGCAGAGACTGCTGCTACTCTAGCTGTCTTCATCTGCATTGTATGCCGTGTTTTCCCTCAGATGTCGAGGTCTTCATAATCCAGTCGGCCACAGGAAGAAAGAGGAAGGGAGGGAGTAAACAGCCTTTTCTGACTCCGGTCCTTACTTGGAATGCACTGTATTACTTATAAGAAACATATTCAAAAGCATTTCAATTTTTTTTTCATGAAATTCAATGTTATTCAAAACGTGTCTGGAAGTCATTTGGACGGGATTTCACAAGATCCAGTCCAATTAATCCTTTCGATTTTTTGTTAAATTCAAGATGTTTGTTGGTGTATACCAAAAACAGTATACTTTGTCTTATTTATTCAAATAATTATAGGTTATTTTTACTATTATTACCTTAGATTTTGTGAAATTTGTTGACAATGAATTAATCACATCAGGAATTGATAGTAGTTCAACTATCATTGAAAACCGCGAAGCAGCAGAAAGCTGTTTCGTACACAAATGACACTCTTTGGCAGTGAGAACTCATGGTAGTGGGATGTAGGGTGAGTGTTTCTCTCTATTTGGAACTCATCGGCTGTGCATACCTGTATTTCAGTCTGTTATGTACATTAGACTCAAACCCAGTACTTTCCTTATCAATAGTCAATCCATTACCGATTAAGCTACTAAATTATTCAACAGAAATAAAGTTATCAGTAAGGGTTTGTAAACTCCTGTTGTTAATATTCAGTACTAGAACTGATCATTCACTGTCACTTTATGAACTTACTGTGGAGATTATCTTGTCAATATCGACTCGTTTATGTTTTTTTTAGTTTGGTTGACTGAATTCATAGAGTATTGCTAGATTTCATAGCATTGCTAACTTTATCAGCAATTTTCGTCTCAGATTAGTCCTATTTGGGCTAGCATTGAAAATCATTCAGTAAAGGACAACTGTTTCGTACTAGCCTAAGATTTCTCAGGAGTGCATACTCACAACCCTAAACCCAGGGATCTAATCCCAGCCCAGCAGTTCTTATGACGAATGTACAGCCGTTAGGATCATTGGCTTTGGGGTCAATTGATACATGTATCAAACACCAATCAATTTACAATTTGGCACTATTGTCATCCAACAGCATTAGTCACATTTTCTGACTAGGACTCATTAATAATTAAATCACTACTGAGCTTTTTATTAGTAGTTTGAACCAAACCATAACTAATTCATTTGGATTTTTATTGTTTTTACAAATGTTTGTATGTTCATCTCAGTAGATTTCATTTCCTGGGCCATGATTAACTGTTATGCAAACAAACGTAAATATTACGAATACCTTTTTGGTTTTTCTAAGGCTGAGATTTTCTCGATGGTGTTGTATTGACTGAATATAAGACCCGACTTGAAAATTGATCACCGACATATGTATTTTGGTAATAATTCTTATTTGGGAATCATTTCATAAGTGTTAAATTAAGTTAGAAATATTAGTATCTGACTTTTACTTAAGTATTAATAATTAAATGGCTATGTAACACTGAAGTGAAACGGTGGATGCTTACTGCTGAGAAGTCACACGCTAGGACGAAACAGCCGTTCAGTGTTTCCAGGTTCTCAGTGGCGGTTTGATATTGATCGATTCATAATCTTAATCGGAACGTATGATTGTTCAAACATATCTTGTTTCTTCTGCTTACTTAAAGAAGTCAGATGGACTGTTAAAGATCTACCTTCATTAACGCATTAAATGAATAACGTGGTTCCGATGAAGTTATACGGCTGTGTATCTCTATGTTTTAAAATGTGTAACAATGCTGATCAAGCCTATTGCTCATTTTTTCATCGTTATTTCAAGGTCACAATATGTGTGAGCCTTAAACCATGATTTAGAGAGGACAAAAATTAGTTTAACAAGCACACGTAGACTGAGCCGTCTGTTGTATCATCTTTTATCTCTCAATACCTTATCTCCACTATCAATTAATTTCGTTCAAATGTACCGTTAATAATGAGTCATTAATGAGACATTTTCTGAAATAAAGAAAACATCTCATGAAAATACTTCAGTGTTTTACACCATTTTTCTACAATCACATCTCTATATAAATATATAAACACACACACACACACACACTTTCTCCTCGATCTCAATATTCTGTGTATAGTAGTAGTATTTGTGCAGTTCAGTTTTGGCAGAATACACATTTATTGATGTCATCAATTTTGAGACATTTTATTTACTTATCTAATACAAACAAAATGAATCTGGTTTAATTCTGATGATACTTCTATAAAGTGATGATCTTATGTGTAATTGTGTATGTGTATCACTTTGCTTTCTTACATGTACACAATGATGTTG